CATGAAGCAGGCACGAAAGGTGGGGATGTCTCTCCTTCAGCGTCTGGGAACAGACGCCCATTTTGCGTTCAACTGCGCAGTCCAAGATCTCACCCCAAGCTGTATGCATTGGATCACGGTTTTGGGGAACGTCGTATTGCCAAACATACGGCGTACGAAAGAAGAGATCCGAACTGGAAAGATTCGGCAGTATAAGGCACGCATGTGCCTCATTGCCTATGAGGCGGCGCCGGTGAAGACTCTCGTGGTCGACGACCACGTGCTCTTTTGGTACAAGAACCGTTTCTACCGCGCCAACCAGTTCGCAGCGGCCTACGCAGTGCTTCCGATTCAGGACCGTTTTGAGGTCTTGAGTGAGGCCAATACGACGTTTCAGTCATTGGCCTTGTCCAAGCAGGATGTGTATGCCGACATCCTTCGGTATGTCGATGACATTCTGCGCCCCCTCACGGAGGCAAAGGACACGGAAGGCGGAAGCCGACCCCTGCCTACAAAGCAACAGAACCCGGACTACACCAGGTCCACCCGTCCTGGGTATGGTTCTCATCAGGGGCCCACTCATGGCTACAGTCAGCAGGAATGGAACGATTATTACAACCAATGGACTGAGCAAGAGTGGGAAGACTGGCGCAGACGCAATCAGGGCCACCAATACCGTGATCGTCGTTGGTCTGGCTATCGCTGAGGCACCGCGGAGGGGAACCTCTCGCCTGGTGGATTTCTATGTCTTCTGAGGCGGGGTAGTTTTCTCTCATTGTGAGGTGTCGCACAGCGGAAGCTGTTGCCTTTTCGGATTTAATTCGGTTAGGTGACTAGCTTCATTTTCTTTTGCACTGGTGGGTGAGCGATTCCACCAACATCCCAACACAAGTGTGCTAAGTCGGAATTTTTGCCAACTTATTCAAGTTCACAAACATTTCATTAACGCTTTGAATGCATATAATTTGAAGCAGGCATTTGGCACCCATTTCATTCCTGCCATGATTCCTTCTTGCTGAGCACACGGCTGGTAGTTGCATGTACCGCAGAGCGGAAGCTCTTGCCTTGCGAAGTTAAGGCATCTTTGAAGCTTTTCTAAATGCTTCCCTGTGGGATCACTCAACCGAATTCGGCTTTTGCATAATTCAGATTGCTTTGGAAAGCTCCCGGGCGACCACAAGAACTTTTGTTGCCGCGTGGAAACGCTGGCCTAGTAAGGGGCCAGAACCTTTTTCCACATTGCATGTTCGACCACAAGCCTGGTAGAGCACAAAACCAAAAGCTGAATGCACTCGCCCGAATTGATCGTGACAGCATCCGTTGACCAATGAACTTGGTGTCGAGTCAATCGCATTGCATTGTCATGTTTTGATCTTGCAGACTTTGTGCAACGCTGAGGTAATGAACAAAGACTACGTCAAAGGAAGGCCATCTTTCCGGGGTTTAGGTTAATTGTTGTTTTAAATAATGGCATCCCTTTACTCTATGTAGTGCATGGCGTAATTTGCAGCTTCACCTTCCTGTGTTACACTGCACGGGGGGTGTTGTTGCACAGTAGTACTCCTAGTATAGGTCATTTCACCCTCGCTACCATGTGGCTATGGCTCAAGAAATAGTGCCGTGGGCAGGTTGTCTAAGTAACTGGTATTAGTGGTTTAACCCGGCTTTTATACCGTTTCTACACTTTGAGGGATCGCACCCCTTGTACTGTATGTAAAAATGCGCATTACATGCTATAGCCATCCGAGATTGTGACAGCCAATGCAGAGACCGTTCCTCAAGATAAATCACAATAGTGCAAGAAGCAAACTTGTCTTGCACCTTGTTGTGAATAAGAGTAAACCAACATAGGCCAGGAATGGTCTCATGTCGTCAGTGAATGAACATATTTCGGACACAGTAGCGCTGGGATCTCAGAGCAGCAAGTTTTCAAACATTTCAACCGAATTCAACCATGCTCAGAAAATATGATGTACGCATACAAGCAAAGCGGCTATAACTCATAAGTGCTCAATTTGGTGTCTCGTATTCTCTTAGTTCCTAGCAGTGTCTTTTTGCAGATAATAAACGTTCTGTTTTGAAGCATGCGCAAAATCAACAGCGGAAATTCCGAACATTTTGGCATATGTCGACCAAACACAGAGCAATTTCTTGTGACGTTCAAAACGTTATTGGTAAAACATGTACCATTGGAAGACAAATAAGTCCAACAACTTTTTGCCGTAGCAGATGTGAACGCAGTACCAACATTATACCGGCAAAGTTTATATATGAGTACCTAAGAAAGTGGGCGCTGCCCTTCCCAACCCATCCCAACCCGTCCCATACAATATCGGTGGAAGAGCAATTGGCTGGAGCCAGCTTTATCACATGTACCCGACCCTCGCACCGCACCCTCGTAGATGACCCATGTACCCACGTGCCGTACCCACATACCATTCCCACATACCGCACCCCTACCGTACCCCGCATCCATGTACCCAATCTACCGTACCCATGTACCCAATGTACCGTACCCATGTACCCAATGTGCCGTACCCATGTACCCAATGTACCGTACCCATGTACCCAATGTACCATACACATGTACCCAAAAACCGTAAGCCGCTATAGCGCCTTACTAAGCCGCTATAGCGGCTTACGGTTTTTGGGTACATGTGTACGGTACAGGGTACGGTACACTGGGTACATGGGTACGGTACATTGGGTACATAGGTACGGTACGGGTACGGTACGGGCACGGTACGGGTACGGTACGGGTATACGGTACGGGTACGGTACGGGTACGGTACGGGTACGGTTACATGGGTACGGTACGGGTTCGGTACGGGGTACGGTACGGGTACGGTACGGGGTACGGTACGGGTACGGTACGGGTACGGTACGGGTACGGTACGTGGGTGCTGTACATTGGGAACATATAGGTATGGTACATGGGTACTGTAAGACGGTACGATGGGTATGGTCAGGAGGTATAAACGACACTCGGGCACGGTATGGGTAGTAAAATATGGTGATAAGTTCATGCGTATGGTATGGGGCCTCTATGGAGATGCCGTGGGTAGATACATACACCGATTCTGTATACTACCGCGCTCTCTATGTGCACGTAAACATGCCAGGAATAAAACAAGATAAGGCGAGCAGATACAGCGCCGTGTAAAAGGATAAAGGTTGGGAAAGCGTTTTGTCATTTGAAGTCGGTTGTGGTTTTGCCAGGGAGACGCATGTTAAAGAAACCGTGGGGTCAATGACCTGCAGTGTTTGCTGGTAATTATACAACTATATATATATACACATACGTATAAGTGGACGATGGTTTTTTGCTATCGCGGATATGCTGCCCGTCTAGTAGCAGGTCTCTTGCAGCTAGTGTTGCCATGCTTTGTCTATATATTGCTGTTATCTATATAAGTGTTGACCTGTTTAAATGTTTTTTGGTTTCCTTATTCTTGAGCCACATTTGCATCAATATCAGGTGATCAAGAAAAGGAAAGTCAAGGATACTCTTCCATTAGTTGGTTGAGCTCATACATCTTTCTTTTTTTGCACAAAAATCCAATCAGCGGCGCAAAGGCTTCCTCATCTAGAATATATTAATATATTAATATATTAATATATATATAGTTTTAGTAAATCGCAAGAAGCATTTGATTTGAAAACAACAAAATAGTCATGTGAACACTTATGTTTTTGGTTAATATGTACACTCGGTTTTGAAAAAACATGGGCCTCGGCATGTCTAAAGCGGGCAATGCGTCAGAAGGGGCACCGCAACAACCTATAAAGTTCTGCCCTGAGGACCGCTCCGCCCTATGACGTTAGATGCATGTTCCGGAAGTGCTCCCCACAAAAGCGCATAGCACTGTGACTGTGTAGGTTGGTAGGAAAGCATCCTGGAAATCAGCACCCAAACAGCAACAGTCCCAACATCTGTATGGAACGAAATGCGTTTTGCCAAGCAATGGCCCCCGTTGCTTCAAGATAGTTTTTGTCGAACTCGGATCTATAGAGGGCTACCGTTACGTTTTTCTTAACTAATTGACTTGTGTTTGCGTGCCGCAAGTTACCAAACATTGTACGTCCGAGGGATTGCATGTTCACAGTTCATTTGAAAAGGCAAAATTTCAAAAACACTGGCTTGCCAGAAGATGCGTCCAGAAAGCCTAACAACGAAATGCTCCGAAGAGTTGCGGGAACCTCCTGGGACCGTTTGTTTGTGGCCGTTGCCTGAGATTCCGGTGCCGCATCCAGCCTCTGTTTGGTTGAAATGTTCAGTTGAAGGTGCTTCATGCTCAACGTCCAGTGCCCCAAATTTGTGCCCATACCCACTATTCAGTACCATTGACCCCATGATAAATCGTGCGCAAGTCATGACTTGCCCCGAAGTACAGTACCATCCGTACATGTATGGCCGTGCATGTATCGCATGAACGTGGTTATGTGACATATGTAAAATCATTGTTCAACTGCAACCCACTATGAACATTGTATGCCATCGACCGTTGGTGACAAATAGTTAATCCCATTTTTGAAGCGTCCCCAGGGAAACTTGAAGCGCACCCAGCGTACCCTTGAAGCGTACCCAGCGTACCCTTCAAACGCACCCAACGTACCCCCGACATGTACCTAGCGTACCTTATGCACCGTACCTGCCCCAAACACCTAGCACCCTACCAACGCACCTCCCGATAGAGCATTACTCTTGAGAATAGATAATATATAATATTCAAAATTGTTCAACACTCTTGTGAAGACCCTTCTGATTAGACAGAGTTAGACTGTTGCAATGGGGGGACGGCAAAATCATGGCGAGAAGTACATGGAAGGATCCTGTTGCAGTTTTTCGGCTCAGAGTACAAAGAAAGGGGAAAGAAGGCTTAACATAGCATGGAACGTTTTTTTTGACACCAAACTAGATTGTCAAAAAAAAACGAATCATATGCTATGGTAATAATTTGGTGTAATACTGCGAGTATTGGTTGACACGGCTGCCCTCCTCCCATGTCTTGGAAACTATGTGGCGTTCTTGTTCATGTTTGCTTTACGTACCTAGGATGTTGACATCGGGGTGGTAATTGATAATGCATTGTTTTTGTTTGTTTTTGGTTGGTCGTCTTGTTGTGGGTTCCATGATGTTCCATGCTTTCAGTCAGATTCCGCGCGCCAATTGCAAGGTCAATGGCCAAGAGTGAATACTGGGCATCGCAGCTTTCTGCTGGGATTGCGACTGTTTGTGCAGTCTTGGAGGCGACCACCCTGAAATGTTGGGGCAATGCTGACTACCAGAAACTTCCTGGGCAGTGGGGAGATGAAAGTGGAGAGATGGGAACTAGTCTCCCAAGCATTGATCTTGGTGCAGCTGTTCATGATGTGGCCGTGTCTCGTCACATTTGTGCTCTACTAAGCGATGGTGCTCTCAAGTGTTGGGGAAGGAATGGCAAGGGCCAGTGTGGGGCCGGGCATTCCAACACGGTGGCAACATCGAGTGCAGTGACAGTGGATCTGGGGACTGGTCGCTTCGCGACACAGGTTGCAGTGGGTGATTCACACGCATGCGCTCTCTTGGACGATGGTACAGTGAAGTGCTGGGGAGGCAACGGTCAAGGCCAGTTAGGCACAGAAAACACCGATGACATCGGTAACCTCCCCGGGCAGATGGGAGACAATTTGGCACCGATCAACCTGGGATCAGGGCGCACTGCACGACAAGTCGTGACGGGTGGCAAGTTCACGTGTGCTTTGTTGGACAATGACAGCGTGAAATGCTGGGGTCGCAACCACAAGGGCCACTCAGCATGTCCTTTGTGACAGGATATACAGGTAATTAAATCCCCGAATGGCAGGTCAAAAATCACCGGTGCATCCCCGTGGGCAAGATCGTTGAAGGTTCAAAGGCTTTGAGGCCAAATTTTGTGTTGCTGCCTGTTGCCCAGGCCAGCTGGGGTTGGGCATCACCGACGAGACCTGGGGAGGAGCAGTCAATCAAATGGGAAACTAGGCTACAATAGGCCGCAATAAGCCGCAAGTAGTTGGGAAATGTTGGGAAGCTGAGTGATGGACTGGACAACGGACTACGCTTCTGTCAATTTTATGAGCCTCAAGTATCCTCAAGTATCCTCAAGTAGTATGGCGGCAGGAGAAGTTGTAGATTGTAGATGCGTTGTATGCTTTATGCTGTGCTAAGTTGCAGGTAACCGCCGGCGAGTAGATGGATTGCAAAGTTGGGCAATTTGTGGATGTCTGACCGAGGTATTTTGAAACCTTAGAAGTGAAAAACTTGTTCCAACAAACATTTCCATTCATTGGATCAGGCGTATCAGGCACTCAGCTGACAACCAAGGAGATTTACTGCCAGCGGTGTCTCTGGGAGTGGGGCGAATTGCCAAGCAGATTTCGGCTGGCACGTATCATGCGTGTGCAATCTTGGATGATGACTCCGCCAAGTGCTGGGGATACAACAACGTAGGACAGCTAGGTGCGGTGTGAGCGCTGCCGGGGGTGAATCAGGTGATCCTATTTATTAAATATGTTAATAGTGCTATCCTAAGGACATGCGCATCATTCGTTTGATCATAATAATTACTACATTTTTTGCCAGTGGTCTGCAACGAAGGCCAGGTGCATTTTCCCAAGTGAACTGCTTAGGGTCCCTTGGTCAGGTCAAGGTCACCAGAATGATATTGGCGCTGATCCGCAAGAGATGGGCGATTTCTTGAGTCCCATCAACTTGGGTCAAGCAGTTCTACAGATGTCTGCTGGCGAAAGTCATACCTGCGCTGTGCTATTGGATCAGTCCTTGAAGTGCTGGGGTGGAAATGCTGAAGGCCAGCTGGGATGCTTGGATCAAACTTGGCAGATTTCCCATTGTATTGCGCATTTTTTTTTTGGGGTCTATAATTGGATATTGAGAGTTGTTCTTCAGTTCCATGATACCATGGGCTTGCTCTTTGCACGGTTGGAAATTGGTTTGCGATGTACTCTCAGCTGATCCTTTGTTTTTCGCCTCAGACAAACGAAAAGTCAGGGAAATTACCGTGTTTCGGACTCGCAACTTTTCTACCTTTTCGTTCGTTTTGATCTTATTTCTTGCTTTGTCTTCCTCTCCCCTGACTCTTCCCGCAACTATTGAATGCTGCATCTGTTCTGTTCATGAGTCGAAAGTTTGACTTCCAAAATTTCCTTTCCAGTCATGTTTTTCATGTCGATTGTTTAGGGTTCTGGCTACAGTAACTATTTGATTTGGTCATTCCCACGTCATTACCTTGACCCTTTCCCACCGGACATCCCGTGATCCTTGGCCTGGCATGCCTTGGTTTTAAGGATTGGGAGATCAAGCTGACAGAGGCGGCGCCAGCGAGATGGCGAACTTGCCCTCGGTGGATGTGGGTACCGGGCTAACAGTTCAATCGGTCGGGGCCCAAGATTTTAGTGTGTTTCTTTTGAAGGGGAGAAACCATGAGCAAGAGCAGATATAGACACATTGACATGTAACCTTGAACTTCTGCGGTGTCGCTCAAGCACATGTATCCCTGGGTGACAGAAGTAGGAAGGCTCCTACTTGCGGGGTCTGGGACTTCTTGGTTTGGGGTAGTGTGTCCAGCACATTGCACAGCATCACTTCCAGTCATGTTTTCCACCTTTTGCGCTGGGTTTGGATTTGGGGTCATTGCAGTTCTGGTTGTCCTGACATATCTGCTCTTCCCTTGGGTTGTCCCTTCACCCACAACTTCTGATCCTTCTGGCCTTACTTCATCACCTTCTGAGAGGCTGGCAGCCTATTTGCATGAACCAGGGTGGCAACCTCGTGCGAACCGTCTGTCAGGTCGTGTCCTTGCTCAGGCAGGCCGCCGGCCTGCTTGAAGCGGCTGTGAACCACGGGAACCAGGGAGAGAGCGCCTCAGCTGGTGAGCCTGCTGCTAGTGATCAATGGAGCCTTTTGGGCACTTCTTCATTGCCAGGATCTCCTCCACTCACTCCATCTCGTGGTGGACCTTCAGCGGGCTATAGCACCTACGACAAGGTGGCTGAATCCATTCCTCCTCTGCCTCAGCATTGTTTGGACTTGTGCTCTCGATTGGGGGGCTCAGATTCTCCTGCTGTTCGGGCTAGGAGGGCTTGGCAGGCTGGACATTGGGCGAAGGCTGTGGTCGGGGGCAAGATCGTCAAACCCCGACCAACGCCCAAGCTCTCACAGAGGTCAACACTATACATTATTGTACAAGGGCCTCGCATTGACAAGCCCAGCAAAGCTGAAGCGCAAGTCTATTGCCTGGCTTTGGGCATCGACTACCCAGCAGAAGTATGAACGGTCCACAGAGCCTCGACGATGTGAGGATCATCGATGGAGGCACAGTGATCCAGTATATCTTCAAGCTCCCTCCGACAGTGGAGCTCAGTTCCAGCCATGCCGAAGCGCTGGCAATCCCAAGTTGCACGACGCCAGAATGGTCTGATGATTGCATTGCCGCTTACTTGGCTCCAGAATCAATTCAACGGGGAGGTCATGTCGATCCCTCAGATCTTTTGGGCCCCCAGCAAGGCGGTTACAGTTCCAGCCATGATCGAGGAGGACGATGGCGCGGAAAATCGCGGAAACCTTTCTAGGCTCCGACACGGATGGTTTGATGGATTTCAGCCAGGAGGTGATTTTTTGCATGAGGCTTCACGATCCAGTGACAGAGCAGGAGGGGATCCAGTTGATGCTCCGGAGATCTTTCCATCAGGAAATACTTTGAGTTTGGAGGCCGACTCTTGGATTCAGGGCGCTGCAGAGGGCCGTGTTGGATTTTACTCTGCAATGGAGGAAGAAGTCTTTCCACGACCTGCTGCCAGACCCAAAGGACAAGCCGCTCCCAAGAAGGGCCAGAAGAAACCCTCAGTGGCAAAATTGGCAGAACAGCTCTCCACGCTCTCCAGCTCTTGCCCCCATGATGAGCCAGCTGCACGCACTTCAAGAAGGACAGAGGAGGTTGGAGGGCACAGTGGAAGCATCCCGCATACAGCACAAAACTCCAGCATACCGGCAGCCTTTTATGGCCCCTTCCCCAAAGACCCCCAGTTTGGTCAGGTCGAGGTTCATAGAAGATGTGGGCCCTCCGCCAAGGATCAAGCAACCACCTTCCACACCAGCAGCAGGAGTAGGTCTTCCAGAAGTGATGGCCGGAGAGGAGCCAAACGCTCTCCTCAGAGGAAGGGTACATAGAGCAGCTACAGGCTGCTCAGAGAGGTCAACCGGATCTCATCCCCCAGCTCCTCCTTCAGCAGCCCCAAGCTCTGACTGCCCTGGTAGCTCAGCTCTCAAACCAAGATGTGTTAGGCGAGATAGGGTCCTCCAGCAGCAGCACTTCAATTTCAATGAAGGGTTCAGCACGTCGAGAGAGGCTGCTGAACGAGCTAGCACAGAGGAAGGGCAATTTCATGTTGCGAGTTGCTCAGAACGCCTTCCGGCGCCTCAAGCCGGTAGACCCAGTGCCAGCCAAGTTGGACGAGTTTGGAGCCAAGCCTATTTTTGCGAAGTACTTGGAACGTCAAGGTGGATTTTCAGGGGCCCGAGATTTGGAGCTGATCATGTGGCTTTTGGCACAAGTGGCAGACCAGATGTTACAGCAGGACCATCAGGGCGCAATGGAACTGATGGCACTTGTTCTAGTGACATTGCAGGCAGCTATGGACGGGAACGAGTGGGAGGTGGCTTGGTTGCTTTCTTTGCAGGAGGATCCACCCCCAGGTTTGTGGTTTGTTCTCTCCTCGGCCTCCATCTTCGAATCCTCGGTTGAGGGCATTCTCACCGCATTGTCCTCCAGAATGAGCAGCAACAATTCTGTCTTTTGTCAAGGAGTTGGACATCATATCGACAAGGAGGTCAGAGATAGTCCGAGCCAGGAAAGGGAAGAAAGAGGAGGAGGACAAGCCAGCTCCAAAGCGTCCGCCAAGAAATCCAAACAAACCCAAGAAAGGAGAAGGAAAAGGCGAGGAGGCAGGATGACCCAACCAGCCGTCCGAGCAGCTTTACCCAAGCCATTTTCCAGTTTTTGTGGCATTCAGGATGCTTTTGTTTCTGAGGATTTTGTTCATGATCAAGGCCATCAGGTCGATGCAGAGGGGTTTCCAGACCACGAACCACAGCAGCCTTTTTCTCGTGATGAGATACAGTGCAGTTTGTCCCAAGATCCCAACGCCTATGTTCCGGGCTCCAAGCCTGCCAGGTTGAAGGAATCTGCAAAGTCGGCTTGGGACAAATTACAAGATTTTTCATTTTCCAAGTGGTGCAGGACGGTCTGCTCCAAGATTTTGACTTCACGCACAGCTTTTGCTCAATTTGTGCGTTCGACGCTTCACATCGAGAGGAGTTCTTTACAGAACCCTGAGAAGGTGCTCTTCCCGTTGCCCATACCCAAACCAGGTGTTTTTGAGCCCAGGAAGTACGGAAGCAGAGCAAGAAAGCAAAAGAGCTTTGATCAGGCTTTTCACTGCACGGTCATGGCCCTCAACTACTTGCATGCTGACTTCCGCTTTGTTGCGCCCGAAGCTTTGGCAAAGGAGCCTTCGGAAGCGCAATTGGCGCTCTTGGGGCGGCTTTGCTCAGGCCAATTTTCAGTTCCTGGCAGCGGCCGTAGATCAACTTCACTTGTTGCGCTCCTGGCGGACCTGAGTGATTTTTTGACTTGGGAAGGCCTTGGAGGCGATGGATATCATCGTGGATTTCATGGCGCCCCTGGAGGACTCCGTGAAGCAACTGAGGTAGAGCCAGACTTGTCAAAAAGAGCTGAAGAGCTTTGCCCCTACCGCAGCCTGGATGCTTCACGTTTGAAGATCACCGGAGAGGCCAAGTGGGATCCTCAACCTTAACTATCAGATTCTCTTTGGCTTGCTTTTGTCGAACCTGCCCCTTTGATTTGGACAAGCGAGTTGCCACTGCAAGATTTTCCTGATTTGACGACGGAGTCTTATGAGAGCACTCTCCATGTAGCAAAGTTTTGGGATGCACATGGGCTTTTGCATCTCAGGGCAGTTCAGAAAAGCTACAGTTGGACAGAAGGCGCAATGAGTTTTTTTAACAACTACAAGAATGCTGATTGTGATCGTATGATTGGTGACAGGGGTTTGAAGAACTGGTTTGAGGCCAAAATCCCTAGCGTGTCAAGGGGCCTTCCCACAGCTAGCGTGATGTCAGTCTTGGAAGTGGGTCCACTACATCAATGCCTTCGCATTTGCGCAGCTGATAGGAGAGACTTCTACCACCAATTCAAAGTATCAAGTCAGCGAGCTGCCACAAATGGGCTATGGCCTCTCTTGAAGGTGTCAGATTTGGAAGGCACTCAGGCTTTCGCTTCCTGGCAGAGACTCGAGCAGGGCCCTTATGTCAGGACCAAGCATGGTGACCAATTTGGTAGGCTGGAAGGGCCATCGGCAGACAAGCACCCGCCAGTTCTGCAAGCATGTTTTGCTCCCATCCCTCAAGGTGACCATCTTGGGGTTGAATTTGCAACAGATGCTCACAGGACTTTTTTGGAGGATCACGGTTTATTTTGCCAGCGTGAGGAGCTTAGGGCAGACAGTATTTTCAGAGGCAGAGAGGTTTTGCAAGGGTTGGTGACTGATGATTTTTTCACAGTCTCCGTCGAGACGGCAGAGAAAAGAGACCCTGAGAACACACCAGCCACAACTCAGAGCCGTGCTTTGCAAAGGTTTCAGCTTGCAAAGCAGGCTTATCAGAAAGCTGACCTGAAAGGTTCTGATGACAAGGACCTTGTTGACCCCACCAGAGCCAAGCTCATTGGAGGTCAGATTGACTCCTCCCTCAGTACACGTAGACTTGGCCTCACAACTCTTGCGGCACCGGCCAAGAAGAGGTTGGCTCTGGCATATCTGTCTGTCGAAGTTTCCCAGCTGCCATATACCGCGGATGCTCTCTATGTTTTCTGGAGGTTGGGTGCGTGCGCTCATGTACCGACGGCCTTTGATGAGCGTCTTGGACAAAGCCTTCAAGCTACAGTAGTTGATGCCACCAAGCTCGATGCTGACAAGCCCAAGCTTGTTGCACTGCCCAGAGGAGTTGCAGAGGAGCTGTTGGTCCTTGCCTTACTGGCCCCCTTTTTGGCCACCAACCTTTCAGCAGGGTTTGCGAATGCCAGCTTTTGTTGCATGCCAAGCCCCCTTAGCAGAGGTCAGAGCCCTTTGGAGGACAGGCAGAAAGAAAGGAGGTTATGCAAGAATGCTCACTCGGGCCGAGGCCCTGGTTCAAAAGCTTGACCCTTCGTTTCAACATGTTTCAGACGGTCACCCGGCAGTTTTTGAGACACAAAGCATTGAGTTCCACTTCATAGAGCTATGTGGAGGAGCAGGAAAGGTTTCCAAGTTGTTGGCTGAGGGAGGATGGGTCACTGGACCAAACATTGGTTTGGATTCCTCGCCTTTTTTCCACTTGAGGAGACTGAAGCTGCTCTCTTGGCTATATCATTTGCTAGGGCCTGGACAGCGTCATGATAGAGCCTCCTTGCGCAACATTCAGCCCAGCCCAGCACCCAGCTTCCAGAGGTTATGACCAGCCAAGAGGATATAACCCTTTAGAGGAGAAAACCTTGGAAGGCACCGAGCTCGCTTTGCGCTCCCTTGCAATCTTGAAGCTCTGCGCTGATTTGAGGAAGCCTGGACTCCTGGAGCAGCCCAGGAAGCCCAAGATGCGCAGATTAGAGGAGTGGATAGCCCTCTTGGAGTTAGGTCTGGCGGAGGAGAATTGGGCTGCGTCATGTGCTTATGGATCTCCACATCAGAAGGAGTTTGTTTTCCTTTCCACAGGCCTTCCGGCAGGAAACCTTCACAGAAAGTGCACAAGAGACCATCAACACATTCCCATTCAAGGCAAGTGGACAAAGCAGTCAGCAGTCTACACAGACAAGCTAGCATGGGCCTTGGCCGAATGCTTTCACCAGGGTCTTACAGTGATGCATCGAGAGGCCAGACAGCACTCTCCGAAGACCCAAGGTTTGGAATCTTTCCTCTGCAATGATGTGCTCCTGTCGCACTCTTGGAAGGTGTTGAAGCATTGGCATTGGGCCAAGCCTACGCATATCAACATCCAGGAAACCTCCACTACATGCAGGCTCCTCAAACACTTAGCACTGAAGGCAGCAAGCACAAGGCCTGTCATTGTCATGGACTCCAATGTTGGCCTTTCTGCTCTCGTCAAAAAAAAGATCCCTCCTCAGGCTTCAGGCCATGGATGCGAAGGGCAGGGGCCACAGCACTTGCAGGAGATCTCTATCCTGCATACCAATTTGGGCCTACGAGACTCAATGTTGCAGATTGCCCTACCCGCAACACAGACTTGCCCTTGCCTCTTCCATCCATCGCAGAGAGCTGCAGGACGTTAGAGGATTACTTAGAGCTTGCTTCCCTCGGCCAACTCAACAGATCGGCAGCAAATTGGTTGAGGTTAGCATTGAGGCTGAAGGAGGATTTTTTGCGATGGAGAGCGCGAGAAGGAGGAGTCAGGTTTTCTCATGTCGCCTTACGGTCCTTTCCATTCAGCACTCACCCCAGGCTCCACTTGGATTTTGGACTTTTGGACTTTGAAGCCTCCCGATTTCCGTGAGAGGGGCCCTGGGAATCTTCTTGTGCTCGCAACATCTTCCAGCCTCATCAGCCTGCCAACCAGCATGCCGCCCATGTCATGACTTCTTCCATGCTTTTCCATTCCCTGGACTTTAGATTTTCTCCTTCATAGGCACCAGCACTGCAGGTCTTTTGGATTTTTGGATTCTCCGTGACCCTACCTGGCTGCTTCTCTGGCTGTGCACTTCACTTGGACTTTCTGCTGGCTCACTCCCCTTAAGTAGACCCCTAAATATCTTTTGGGTATTTGTCACCTGGGGCGCTGCGAACGGGGCGCCGGGCGAGAGCCATGGAACTGCACTGCAACCGCGAGATGCCAGAGACAAGCGCAGAGCTCAGAGTAGGGCTGGAGCAATACTTCCCACTGGAAGGCCTGTTTTAGGCCAGATTCAGCATTACAGAGATAAGCTTCTGGAGCAGTTTGGTGCTTGGTTGGAGGGACAGGGTCTCACCATTGATGTTTTGTTGGATTCTGGGGCAACTGACATTGAAACTTTGAACCTTGTCCTGGAGAAGTACGGAAGAGCATTGCATGCAGCAGGCAGGCCCTATGGGCACTATTCGGAAACCATCAATGGAGTTGTGGGAAAAAAGCTTTGTTGGGTGGCTGCGCCAAGAACCACCCTGCCATACACCACCTGGCCTTGCCGTGGCAGGCCCTGCTTGCAATTCTTTCAACAGCACTTTGCTGGGGGTGGACAAGGGTTGCTGGCATAGTGGCATTATCCTGGGGAGGACTCACCAGGATAGGCGAGGCGATGCAAGCGCTTAGGCGACATCTGGTTTTGCCTTCAGACCTTGGTTGGTCTGTTCCCTTCGCATTGCTGGAAATAAGTGAACCAAAGGCTAGGTTCAGTGCAGCACGACACCGACCAGCGAGACTTGATCAACCAGAACTTTTGAGCGTTATAGAGCTGGCTTTCAGAAAACTCCGACCAGATCAGAAGTTGTGGCCTATGTCAGGCCAGACCATGCGGGTGCGCTTCCAGAAACTTCTTGAGGCAACTGGCATGTCCTCTCTACCTCAGAAAATGAGAGGCCTTGACTTAGGCTCACTGCGAGCGGGAGGAGCCTCATGGCTCCTCCTCACTTCAGAGGACTCTGAGCTGACAAGACGTCGTGGCCGCTGGGTCTCATCGAGTGATGGAAATATATGTGCAAGAGATTAGTTCCTTGCAATTTCTGCCCAGCTTTCCGCAACAGATCAAACAGCTCATTTTGGATGGAGTGGCGATTTTCCCTCACGTTCTGGAGACAGCAGAATGGTTTGTGCTTGCGCAGGTTCCAGAATCTATTTGGTATACCCTTTTCAAAAATGAAGCAGCTGAGAGCTTCCCGCAGGAAGAACATGGCAGGGGAGAAGCAGGTCCAAATATCCAGGCCATACAAAGATCAGACAGATCAAATGGCTCTGTGCGGCATCCATCCGGTGTGAAGCAGAAAAAGACTGCTGCAGCTGAAAGTTAGCGCTCCTGAAAGGATGATAACTTTATTTCCTGCTGCAAAATCTTTTGCCTTTATTTGTAAGGCAAAAGAAACCCAACAAGTGCAAACCAAAACTCAACTGTTTAAACAAAAACTGAAACCTTGCCACAACTGCTGTTATTTCAGAGTTGGTGGTTTTTGGTTTTTCTTGCTTGTTTGTGAAGAGTCTCAGATTGTAAGGTAGATAAGCGTCCTTTATGTAATCTGAAACTCATGTCTGCACTTCCTCTTGGTAGATCTTCAAATCTATGTTGCATGTAAGCCCTGCGGTTCAAGAGTTCTAGCTGGGGGGTAGCGCAATGTTGTGATGCGGTGATGGATCCTTTTAATTTGGATGATTCTGGTCATAACATTATTTTGGGTTCAGAGGATGACTTACAGCCTGATGCCGCGATTGATGAACGTCATGACGGGACTGGTTTTGACCTAAATTTGGAGCTTCGGCCTGGTCTCCAACAGTTTGGACCTGAATTTGCTGCCGTCACGCCCTCACTAGAAGTTGGACAACAAAGTGCATTCAATTTCGAAAATCTTCTTGCACACGCCATTCGGGATGTTGCTGAATCTCCAGTACAACTGCCTTGGGAGACAGATGAATGGGCCTGCATTTTTGACCCAAACCATGATCCTTTAGATGCGCTGGTACCTCAGTTTGAACCTAATGGTCAGTTGATGAGCCAAGTCATACTTTCACGCAGCCTTTGCTCACAATCGCAGTGTCTAGAAGAAAGGACCAGGTCTGGACGGAAAAGCGGGAAGCTGAGCTGCAGAGGGCACTCATGAAATGGGACACCATCATCAGAAACTGGCCAGATACATGGAGATGCAAACATGAGCGTTTGGTATGTTCTTCAGTGAATGATTTTATGAACTTACTTGGAGACTACCTGGCAGGGAAAGCGCCGGAGACTCTGGTGAAACGTGCAAACAGTATGGTCTTTCTGCATTCAACTTTGCAACAGTTGGGTTTCTTCTGGCCCCTTGATGAACCGGAGATGTACAGGATCATTAAGATTTTGCATTCATCTGGACATCGCACTAGTCGGTTGAAGTCGATTTTGGAAGCCATCACTTTTTGCAGGTACTCCTTCGACATCGTCGGCCTCCATCCCATCACCGTCAGCAAGCGTTGTCTGGGAGCCACTGGGGGTGACGTTGCAAGCAAGTTGAACCAAGCCACTCCATTGACAGTTGCAGACATTCGGCATTTTCACATGTGTTTGGACACCGGTGACACCTGGGACAGAGTTTTCAGTGGAGCAGCCCTTTTCTGCATATATGCACGAGCTAGATGGAGCGACTTCATCCATGGAAACTGCATTAGACTTGATGAACTGGAGTCATCTGGCAAAGTTGCGTATGCTGACATGGAGGTGCAAACCCATAAGACAATGAAGGCTGCAGCTAACAAGTTTAAGTTTTTGGACCTCGTTGTATCTGGCAGTGGAATTTTTGGAGATGACTGGGTAAGAAGTTGGATCGATGCACTCAACAACATTGGCGTTGATCCGTTTTCGAATGAACCTGGCAAGACTTTGATGCCGGCTCCAGCTGCTGATGGTACGCCCTTCAAAGAGCCTTGGAGAGTGATGAGGCAAGTGTCTGGCTGAGATTGATACTAGGAGAAAATGTCAAAGGCAGTGAGAGCACAAGACAAATCTCGTCGCACCCTCTCAAAGCTCCAATACTGTCGATGGCAGCAAAACGAGGGTTGAAGCATGAGGACAGGTTGGCTATGGGCCATCACGTTCATCCTTTCAGGATGGCTGATACATATGCAAGGGATGCTCAAGCAAGGACGATCCGTTTGATTGACAAACTTTTGCTTGAAATCCGATCAGGGTATTTTGATCCTGACTCGACTCGGGCTGGAAGGTTCAACAAGAACTACGCACCAGATTCTTCTTTGGATGTTGGCGCAGTTTCACTTCTGGAGAGCGATGCAGAGAGTCCTGCAGTGGAAGCCTCAGTTGATGAGGCGCTGGATGAAGCATTGCAAGTGGTGGAAGATGACAAAGAAGTTTTGGAAGAAGAGCATTTTACAAGTTCTTCTTCGGAGAATGATGCGGAGAGTGTGGAGTACAACGCTCCTGTCAGGATTTTCCAGCCACCAACTGCACCTTTAGGTTTCCACTTCATGCGGCACAAGCGAACCAGGACACTCCACCTCGTTGATGCTAAGTATCCTCATGGAACTTGTTGTGGCCGAGTGTTGGATCAGAATTTCTCAGAACTTGCACAACTCAGGTATGACTCTGCAGTGTGCCATGTGTGCCGAAGGCATAGAATGGCTTGAAGAGACAGGTGAACTCAGCCGAAACGTCACGCTGAAGAAAAACATTTGAAGCGTTGCGTGTGGTTTTGGAGTTGCCTTGCCAACAGCAGAATTCAAGATTTTTCAATTTGTTTGACAGTCGAAGGTGGTTCCAACGTGTTTCACGGGTGGTTACCAGGATTGAAGGTTGATGTGAAGCCTAACCCATTTTTTTCATATTCTTTCATTCCATATCAAAGGTGGTCATCCAATTTGACAGTGGGGATGGAAGGGTTGCCATGGGTGGTTTTTTCCAACACGGACACAAGCACGGCAAGTCATGAACAAAATTTTTAAGATTCACAATGTGTGGTAATCCAACATTGGGAGCCAAGAGATCCATGGAAATCCGAGCCGTCACTAGGCGGCGGTTGACAAATTTCCTCATTTGGGTCTGTGGCTTAAAGCGCAGATCGGAGATTGTGAGACATTAGGAAATTACTTGCGCAGGCCTGGATTGTTGAAAACAGCAAAGCTTTTCAATCTGTTTTGAAACCAAGAAACGCTAAACGGTATTGTTTTCTGTTTCAAGTGATTTCAACATTGCATGTTCTTGAGATAGCAGAGACGTGCAGCCATGACCTTAATCGATTCTGAAGCTGCATTCAAGCAGCGATGTGCGGAGCTTCCCACAACAACGTTGAATCTGCATGCGCTTTTGAATGCGCAAAACATATCATGTTTTTCAGAGCTGGCATTTTCGTGTGGAGCACCCAACAAGGCTCCGACAGATGAAGAATTCAGGAATTTTCCCACTCAGGTTTTGGGAGATGGATTCACAGCTGGGCAGCAGAGCTTGCTGAGGAGGATCCACTTTGAGGCGGCCACCTTTGTTCTCTCACAGCCCAAATCAGCGGTCACAAGTGATTCATTGGATGGTGCAAAGAAGCTCCCATTTGCAGAAAAGCAAGCTCGTTACGAGAAGGTGCGCAACAAGATACCAGGTTTCCTGGTTCAGGGTGAAACTGAGCCTTCACATGCTTTGCTGGGCAAATGCCAGACCATTTACGATACAGGTGCAATCATTTGGGTGTCTCCCTCAATGTGCACGAAAAGGGACGCTGAAGTGCAGGCTACGCCAAAGGATGCGCATCAAATTTTGCGCATAGAATCTCAGACACTCAAGGTTGGAACGGAAGGGCCAAAGCTCGATGATGCAGACCATGGCACAGAGATCAAGCTGCAATGGTGTTTTCAGCGTAGAGGTGTTGCTTTCGAAATGTGCGACCTAGTCTCATGGGATGTTTCGCAAAGATGGTTGGCTACGATGTTTGCAGCATACTCTACAGATCCTCCACCTGGATTTGGAAAGGTCAGTTTGCAACAATTGGTGTCGGCCGACAAGGCCATGTGGACTATCCTGGCTAGGGACTTATCATCCGTCAAGCCGGACACTGGAAAGCGACCATTGGAATTGGATGACCTGCATCTTCAGTGACTACGAAAGCTGCCAGTCCCTCTGCCGCAGCGCCATCTATTGTGCATCCAAAGAAGAAAGCCAGACCAAGCAAGAAGAACAGGACAGCCCCATCTCCACCGGAGGAGCTCAAGGCGTGCTATCAACATACAGCAGATAACAAGCCAATCTGCTGGTCATACAACCTGAAGAACGGGTGTGCCTTGGAAGTGTCTGGACAACCCCCCAAGTGCAGAAAGGGGGTTCACATTTGTGCATATTGTCGCAAGACTGGTCATTCATGTCAGCAGTGCAAAGCGGCGCCGGGGAAACAGTCCCCACACTGACCAGAAGGCCCAGCACCAATGGATACAGTTTCACAGGACAACTCATTGCAGACAGATCCCAGCGTTCTTGAAGCTGCAACGCTGGAAGAGAGTGTCACATCTCCAGGCATCTCAGAAAAACTGACAGCCAAGGATTGTTTCACGGATGTTTCAACAGGTACTGAAGCTCGAAAGGTTCTGTTTGAAAATATTCTTTTCTTGGAGGTATTTGCTGGAACTTCATCTTTAACAATTGAAGTTCTGAAGACGAACTTGCGTGGAGTGGCAATAGATAGGAGTGCTGACCGAGCCAAGGGGCCCATCACCATTTTGGACCTCACTAACGATGAGGACTTGCAATTCCTCATGGATTTCATCAGGCAGGAATCTCGCAACCTCTGCCTCATTCACTTCGCACCGCCGTGTGGAACTTGTTCAGCTGCCCGGAAAAGGAAATTGCCACCAGAAGTTCAGGCAGAGTTGAAGCAAGCAGGCATCACGCCGCCACAGCCGTTGCGCTCAGAACAATTTCCAATGGGACTCCCTGGAATTGCTGGTTTGGATTTATATAAAGTGGAACAAGCAAATAAATTGTACTTTGCAACACGAGATTTAGCTTTGTTGGCGATATCTCTGGGAATACGGGTTTCGATCGAAAACCCAACGAATAGCCTTTTTTGGAAAACGGCTCCTATTCAGGAACTTTTGCAAGTACAGCCTGGACATTGCAATGTGTTCCATAACTGCATGATGGGTGGCGATAGACAGAAGCAAACAACCTGGTGGTGCACTGATGAGTTTTTCTCCTCCTTTAATTTGCCTTGCGCAGATGACCACCCTCACAAGCCATGGACGCCGACCCTGACAGCCGACGGGGTCCATTATCATACTAAGGATGAGGCAGAGTGCCCAAAGCTGCTCTGCCAAAGAGTAGCCTCACTCTTGATTGCGGATCTGCAAGCACGGGGCATTGAACAACCCACAACAATGACGCAGCAAATCGCCGAGCGTCGCACTACAGCAATCAATTCAGTGGCAATGGGACTAATTCCAAGGGGTCAGAAACTCAAACCCTTGGTCAGTGAATTTGGACATTATGTCCAATTTGTGGTCAAGCCCAACATGGACGCAAGCTGCATTCTGCCGAGGCTTACTAAAGGCGCTCGGATCACTGACCGGAAACTGCTTATGTGGGGTGACAAACGGGTTTCCCACCTGACAGGTGAATCTCTGATGTATCTTGGGGAGCAAACAGCGAATGAAGACACAAAAGTTGAGTTGGTGACTTTTGGTGTCCCAAGAGAGCCTTGGGACTTCATAAGAAAAGCAGCACAGGTTGGACACCCGAGATTTTTGCCGTACGCTGGATCGGAACAACTAGATGATTTGTTGGTGAACAACTTTAACCACCAGGCTTGCGCACTAGATGACAGGAGGCTCTCTTTCTTTAAAAGATGGGTGGCCAGGGCAAAGGAGCTTGAAAAGGACGAGCGCAATCTCAGATTGGACCTGGGAGAACATGTCAGACACGTGCTCCAAGGGAAACGGTTGCTGGTATTCAAGGAAATACTAGAGGATCTTCAGTTTCCAGACCAAAATCTCTTCAACGACATCATCACAGGTTTCAGATTGTCAAGATGGATGAGGGACTCGCAGGTGTTCATGAGTTTGCCAAGGCCACCCAAACTGACTTTAGAAGCCCTCCTAAAATCATCACTTGGTTTGCAGAAGGCTGTGCTGAAAAGGGTCAAGGAACCAGAAGATGCTGAGCTGCACCTGGCTGCTTGGAATGAAACTCAGGCTGAATGCGAACGAAAATGGATCTGGGAAGATTCTTCAGGCGATCTTCCAAAACAAAGTCATAGCACACCGATTTGGCTTGAGCAAAACGCGAAAGTGAGGGTCATTGACAACTTCAAGCAGTGTGGCTTGAATGATTCTTGTGGGCTACCTGAAAAGTTCACGTTACACGGTGTGGATTTCATTGCAGCTTCACTGATCAGGGCGCTTGTACTGCACCAGGGGTCAACCGTGGTGGCCCTCAAAGGAAAGACGTTTGATTTGAAAGCTGCACACAAACAATATCCAGTTCACCCTACCGATCGACAGCACCTCAGAATTGCAATTTGCGACCCCAGCACTGGTCAAGCTAGACTCTACGGGTTGAACAGCCTGCCCTTTGGGGCCACTGGCAGCGTTGCTGGTTTCCTCAGGGTCAGTTCGGCCCTCTACTACATTTTGAGCATGGGTTTGAAGGTGTGGTGCAGTGCTTTCTTTGATGATTTACCAACGTTGGCAGCTGATGCATCAGCTGCTTCAACAGACCGGTGCGTGGGCTTCTTGTTCGATCTCCTTGGGATGAAATTTGCAACAGAAGGAAAGAAGTGTCAACTTTTCAGTGAAGAGATGAGAGCTCTTGGTCTCATTTTTGACTTGGCCAAGTTCGATGAGGGAGTGGTCTTCATCAAGCACGCTCCTGAGCGCAGGCAGGAGCTTTTGGAGAAGATAAAGGCCATTTTGGCCGCAGACCAGCTTTCTCCAAAAGAAGCCGGGTCTTTCAAGGGCCGTATACAATGGTTTGAGTCTTTCTTGTTTGGCAGGACAGCAAATCTTGCGATCCACAGGTTGGGGAAAAGGGCGCTGTCCAAGGGTGGGCGAACAGGATACAAGCTTGATGCCGAGCTCAAGTCTTCGTTAGATTTTCTTCAGAAACGAGTTGAACATGGAGCTCCCCTTCAACTTCCTGCAGCAACAGAGCAGGCTGTGTTGATCTTTACAGATGGAGCTTTTGAAGAAGAGACTGGCGCCGGGTCAATCGGCGGTGTCCTCTTGGACCATAACGGCAAAGCTATCAGCTACTTCAGCGAGGAGGTACCGAGATTGCTGATGGAACTCTTCTTGAAAGAATCGGAGAACCCGATTTACCTGATTGAACTGCTAGCGGTGCATGTAGCTGCTTTCCTCTGGGGTGGACAGACGTTTGGTAGGTACATTGTGATGTGCATTGACAATGAGGCGTCTAGGATGGCCACTCTTTTGGGAAATGTGGTGGTCCAGCTTTTTGTGCAAGAAGAAGACCGAAGCCAGTGGAAGGTGTGGTTCGGTAGAGTTTGCAGTCACTCCAACATAGCCGATGGCCGATGGCCCCAGCCGTGGACATATCAAAGAGATGGAAGCTTGCGGGGCTGTGCGAGATAGATGCGCATGGGACGCGGTCATATGCTCACTGGAAGCAGTCCAGCACAGGCTCAGATGGGGGTGATGGCGGGTGCTCGAACCATTTGCATCCCATCATTCCGACTGGAGCTTGAACAGACCCCCGTGCGCCAAAAAGAGAGTGGTGAGTGTCCGATTCATTGCATTTGTTTTCAGAGTTGCACATGTCAGTTTTTGCAGTTTCGATTTTCGTATTGGCGCGTGACCCGACGTTTGCGTACGCTATACTGTATATGAATATGAAGATAGTTTATTCCATATAATTTTAACGCGTAGTCAGATTATATGTCTCTTGAAGACTGCCAGCTTCGGGTTCAGCGTTCCAAGGTTTACACTTGGGTGGTCTTGCTAAGGGAATAAGTTAGCGCTCCTGAAAGGATGATAACTTTATTTCCTGCTGCAAAATCTTTTGCCTTTATTTGTAAGGCAAAAGAAACCCAACAAGTGCGAACCAAAACTCAACTGTTTAAACCAAAACTGAAACCTTGCCACCTGCTGTTATTTCAGAGTTGGTGGTTTTTGGTTTTTCTTGCTTGTTTGTGAAGAGTCTCAGATTGTAAAGTAGATGAGCGTCCTTCAAGCAATCTGAAACTCATGTCTGCACTTCCTCTTGGTAGATCTTCAAATCTATGTTGCATGTAAGCCCTGCGATTCAAGAGTTCTACCCTCCCACAGCCACCCTTTCTTTCTCTCCAATTTTCTTCCTATGTTACGTGCAGCACGACACACAAGTGTCTTGAGACTTCAGATTCTGCTCAGTCAATTACTTTTCTTCGCCAAAGTCCAGATGACAATATTGCAATTGCAGTGCAATATCGAAGAGACTGTTGATCTCCTCCAGGATATGGGATTTGAGAGACATTTCATCGTGGTCTATTTGGACCAGATTCATGCAGAGCTTCAGAGATTTTTGCAAATGTGCACCCGTGCCATTTGCGGTATCGAAAATCGTCTGTTTGACATTTTCTTGCGACGACTCAATCTCTGACTCAACAGGAAACGATTGCCTGATCCATCTTGCATCTCCAATTTTTGATGTGATGCCTCACCCTCAGCCGTGATGGCGGGTGCTCGAACCATTTGCATCCCATCATTCTGACTGGGGCTTGAACAGACCCCCGTGCGCCAAAAAGAGAGTGGTGAGTGTCCGATTCATTGCATTTGTTGTCAGAGTTGCACATGTCAGTTTTTGCAGTTTCGATTTTCGTATTGGCGCGTGACCCGACGTTTGCGTACGCTATACCGCTATACTGTATATGAATATGAAGATAGTTTATTCCATATAATTTTAACGCGTAGTCAGATTATATGTCTCTTGAAGACTGCCAGCTTCGGGTTCAGCGTTCCAAGGTTTACACTTGGGTGGTCTTGCTAAGGGAATAAGGTTATATAATTAGATTACTGTTGCTTTACATGTCAGCCACCCAAAGCATGCCCAATGGATTGTAGATAGGTCAATCATTTGCACCATTTGCGCTGGATCTGCGCTTTTGAACAAATCCTGACACCCACAGAAGCCAGCTGCTATTGTAGCTGACCAGCAAGTTCATTCTGAAACTGCAGACTCCGCAAGCGTAATGTAACTGGTAAACCTGCCAATTGGTCCGCATCTCAAGGGCAATGAGGGATACATAGAATTTGACAAGTTCCAAGGCTCTAGGAGTATCATGGCATATCATGGCATAGTGTGATGGAACAAACATCGCTGCATCTTCCAATCATCTTCCTGCGTGAGTGCTTCTATCGGCATGCAGGTCTCGTGCTCGGTTGACGGCACTTGTGTGCTGCTGAACGAAGACCACTCCATCAAATGCTGGGGTGCAAACTCCTTTGGCCAACTCGGCCAAGGACACGCGGCCGTGGTACAGTGACAAGCTGAAAAGTTTAAGCACCACTTGATTGGCTTTGGTTTTTAGGGAACATTTGAATCATTTGATGCATTTGTGTCCCTGCACTTACATCGATTGAAGAGAGATGAGCCCATCGGCCATGTCAGGCCTAGGTCCTAGGTGTTTGACTTCCCCATATGCCCCTTGTCACCGCAAACCCAAGTCGGAGATGAAGGCAGACATATGCTAGACATACACTAGACATGCTGCACAGCTCAATGATCAATGAAGGAGATATAAACAGTCGTGGCACTGTCGCTGGTGAAATGGGCGATGCTCTTCTGGCCGTGGATTTGGGCATGAGCCTCGATGCCTGTTCAGTTGGTGGAAGGGGCCAGGGATTAATGCCTTACAGGATGCAACAAATTATGATTGTGGCCAACTTGTGTCTATCTGGCTTGTGTCATCGCAACGTTTGGGTGCATGATTGTGTATGAAAGCAAAGTGGTGCTTTGCAAGCGCTGGCATTTCAGATTATTTTAGATGATCTATATCATGATCACTTATTATTTTTCATACTAATATACCACAGGTACTTGGTCAATGCGGTGTATTGTCTCGTTCCCCCTAAAATTGTCTCATGTCAGCGTGCCATGGGGAAAAACGTGCAATACTGCAAATTATCTTGAAATCCTTTGATCAAGGTGTTTATCGCTTCGCAAATCGCAGCTGTTGAAAGATATTGTTACTTGACGGCAGATGCACACCCTCAAACCTCGATGCTTTAAGGCCTACAAGTACCTCTACCACCGCCACAACCACAACGCCTATTTCCACCAGCTATACAACCACAGTGCCCACAATTACCGAGACAGCCACAACAAGAACGTCATCCAGCAGCACTACGCGGAGTGACACATCGAGCAGCCTCAGCACGACGAGTACAGCCAGCACTATATCCACCTTGAATACAGCAACCCGAACAACCCAGCCAGGAGTGACTAGCATATCCAGCACTGCCAGCTCATCAAGCACTGCCAGCTCGTTGAGCGGTACAAGCACATCCAGCACATCCAGCACCGCAACCAGCCCGACAAGCGGCAACACTCAGACCTTTATATTCACATCCTCTTCCACGTTCTTCACTTCCACCTCAAGCTCCCTTCAAGCTCTGACTTCCACTTCCCCTTCTACCACTTCCAGCTTCTCTAGAATTTTGACTTCCACTTCTACCTCCAACACTGTCACTCCAACCACCAATGACTTGCTACCCGAAACACCCTTGGAAGATGCTGTCGTATCATCTTCATTCAGCACCGCGTCATCCACAGAGGAATCCCGAGCTCGAGTTGTGATCACCGAGGAAGAATTTGAGGCCCTGGAGGAGGAACGCAAGGCCGAAGCGACACAAGTAGTCCAGGACTGGGTGTTGGAAACGGCAATATTTGTCAATGTTCATATTTCGTTGGCTAGGATATACATGGCAGTAGTCTATTTACAGGTGTGCAAATAAAACGGGAGGGGGGATTGGGGCGGAGCGCAGCGCTTCCTCCCCAAAGCAAAATGAAAATACCTATTCTCACATGTGATGATGTAAGTTGAATTTGGTACTCAGGGTGTAAATATAGTGTGCAACATGCACCTTGTGAACATGTAGAATGCAGGCTGGTGTTGGGAGCAGATAGTTTCATTGGATGTTGTCACAGTGTTGGCAAAGGACTTCTTTGGTTTTGGTGCTGGTTTTACTTAGGGTTGGTTTACGGGTTTAAGGCAAAGGTTTAAGTGGGATTGGTTCAGGGTTTATAAGGCTACAAGGTGTGCAAATAAATAAATATATATATATATAAATCTGTTTGAGCTAAGTGAACATAATATATATATATACATACATTGTTAGAGGTGTGCAAGTTTGAATCTACTGTAAAATAAAAATAATTGATCAAATTGATGAAAACTATAGACCAATCGATAAAACCTATGAGAACCTTCGATGAAAACCATCAAAACCATCAATGGAACTAATGGAAAATCGGTAAAGACCATCAAGAAAGCAAGGAACACCATCGGGAAACTCGATAAAAAAACATGAAGCCATGATGAAAACTATGGAAAAAGGAGAAATAAATGAACACCTTGGAACAACGGATGAAAACCATGGAGGAATGCATTAATTTCACTAAAAACAACAATGGAAACACGATGAAAATCATGGACAAGTTGATGAAAATCACGGAAAAATATGAACACCCTGAAAAAATCATGAGCACAATGGAAAAAAGGAACAATCGACGCACCGGGGGAAAGCGATAAAATACCTTTGAAGTCGATGAAAACCTTCGAAGTCGATGAAAACCATCGAGAAATCGATCAACACCATCAGAAAAAACAATGAACATCAATGAAAAATGAAAGGCCGTAGCCTCTAGACCCCCCAAAAATAATCCCCAAAACAAACAACAATTAATTCCCCACCCCGTAGAATTGGGGGGGCATCCCACCCATGGATATCAACATTGAGTCAATATGAAGTCCCCATTTTTGGCCAGTCCAGACGAGGATATCTGGGAAGGTTCCTAGATCACAATTCCTGAAGTTGCCGCAATTGATCATGAAAGCTCGCGGTAGCTAGCTGGAGTTTATTTTTGCAGCAAAAGGTGGGCAACTCTGAGTCCACCACAGTGATTCTTCACTTGAAATCCACTCCCCCCCAATCCTCCCCAAGCTCTGAGAGCAGTGAGGGGTCTGAGCATTCAAAGACAAGGCGCTTTGCACAATATCGACAGAAAGTTTTTTTTTGGCGGAAATGGTTGACATATGATGGGAAAAAGCAATGGAGTTGGTTTTGGATGAAAAACATACATTGTTATTGCATGTTTTTTGCGTTTTCTCTAACTACTGCCAGTAGTGCCGCACAAGGCGGTGGCGGAAGTTTCAAAAACAGGAAACCTATAGGAGAGATTGCTTGTTGTGAATCACGGATGGCAGAGCGAATCCACTGATGGACCGAAAGGTGGTTGGAGCTGTGTTTTTGGAGTGGCTGCAATGGTTGCAGTGGTCACCTGGTCGGTCACCTCACCCACAACTGCTGGATGTAGCGTGGTGTAGTGCAGCTGTAGTTGTTGTTGTAGTGTGGTGGAGTTGTAGTTGTGGTGTAATGTAATTAGTGTAGTGTAGTTGCAGTTGCACTTGTGCTGGTGTAATGAGTGTAGTGCAATGCAATGCAATGTAATGCAATGTGGGGTAGGGTAGCATAGTGTAGTGTGATTGAGTGTAGTGTGGTGTGGTGTGCTGTAGTGTAGTGTAGTCGAATGTAGTGTAGTGTCGCGTAGTGTAGTGTAATGCAATTAGTGTAGTGTAGTTGTAGTTGTAGCTGTAGCTGTAGTTGTAGTTGTAGTTAGTGTAGTGTAGTGTAGCGTAGTGGAATGTAGTGTAGTGTAGTTGTAGTGTAGTGTAGTGTCGCGTGGTGTAGTGTAGTGTAGTGTAACTGAGTGTAGGGTGTAGTGTAGTGTAGCGCAGTGTAGTGTAATGTAATTAGTGTAGTGTAGTGTAGTCTTATGTAGTTGTAGCTGTAGTTAGTGTGATGTAGTGTAATGTCATTAGTGTAGTGTAATGTAATTAGTGTAGCGTAATGTAAATTGTAGTGTAGTGGCAGATGCAGTTGCAGTGGTAGTTGTAGTTGTAGGTGTAGTGCAGTGTCATTCAGTGCAGTGTAGTGTAGTGGAGTGTAGTGTCGGGTAGTGTAATTAGTGTAGTGTAGTGTAGTGTAGCGTAGTGTAAATGTAGTATAGTTGTAGTTGTAGTTGTAGTTGTAGTTGTAGTTAGTGTATTGTAGTGTAGTGTAGTGTAATGAAATTGGTGTAGTGTAGTGTAGTTGTAGTTGTAGTTCGTGTAGTGTAGTGTAGTGGAATGTAGTGTAGTGTAGTTGTAGTGTAGTGTAGTGTAGTGGAGTATAGTGTAGTGTAATGTAGTGTTGTGTAGGTGTTGAATGTAGTGTAGTGTAGTGTATGTAATGTAGTGTAGTTTAGTGTAGTGGGGTGTAGTGTAGTGTAATGTAGTGTAGTGTAGTGGAATGTAGTGAAGGTGTAGTTGTAGCTGTAGTGTATAGTGTATTGGACTGTAGGGTGGTGTAGTGGTGGTTGAAATTGAAAATGCAACAAAACCTTCACGTTTTGCTCACTTTTGACAAGGTTCACAATCCCTTGCGCCTGCCACGCGGAAGCACATCTGAACCTCTAAAAGTGGTCCGAAGCTGGAGTGTTTTGAACATTTTGACTTCGAAATGTGCTTTGCGCCACAACGGCGTGCACTTTTTCGACATCTCAACTAATAAAAGTGGTCCGAAGCTGGAGTGTTTTGTACATTTTGACTTCAAAATGTGCGTCGCGCCACAACGGCGTGCACTTTTTCGACATCTCAACTTCCGAAAGTGGTCCGACACTGAGGTGTTTTATACATGTTGACTTCAAACGTGCTTCGCGCCACAACGGCGTGCACTTTTTCGACATCTCAACTTCCAAAAGTGGTCCGAAGGACTTGCAAATGTGCTTCGCGCCATAACGGCTTGCACTTTTTTCGACATCTCAACTAATAAAAGTGGTCCGAAGCTGGAGTGTTTTGTACATTTTGACTTCCAACTGTGCTTGCGTGCACTTTTTCATCTCTCATCTGGCCAGTGTTTCGCGACTTTCCTACCTTTTCGCGCATCTGCATCTTCTTTCTACTGACTTTTTCTCTTCTTTGATCTGCTCTCTTCTACTCTTCTCTTCTCCTACTCTTCTCTTCTCTCTGCCTCTGCCCATCTCTGCTTTTCATCTGTCCATATTGTCGGAAGTTTGACTTCTAAACTTCTTTCGATTAAAACTGAAACCCGCTGGGGTGATTTTTGTTTAAGGTTCAGTAGGATTGTGGACATGAAAAATGAAACTAACTATTCGTGCCGCGTTCACAACCGGCCAAGAAGTTGGGGCAACTTTTTAGTTTCATGTGGAAATGAGATTGATGTAGTGGGGTTAACTTCGGTCCACTGCATCGTGCAGGAGCTGGAAACTGCAGAGACCGCAGCAGTGACGCAGTTGCTTACAGAAATTCTGCTGGACGAACCTGCTGAAGCTGCTGGAGCCGTCTTGGGCCAAGGATCCAAGGAGACAGGCGGCGGTGTGATGAAGATGGTGGCAGTCTCCCCTGAGGAACGAAATCGGACAAAAAAACAGAAACAGACCACAGGTCAGGCTTGCGGGTGTTGACGGGGACCGACTCTGTGAATGTCAGTCGCAAAAACGTCTTCATAACACCGGAGTTTTGACTTGGCTAGGCTGTGGTGGAATCTGGAGAAAATGTTACGGTCGTTGGAGACCAAGGCTTTGTGGCTCTGGCTCCGGGTTCGGGGTATTTCATGTTATTTCTGGGCACTGGGGCGGCAGAATGCTCTGGGCTCAATCTTTTAGATGGGTGACAGTGGCAAATTGCCAAGATTGTTTACAGTCATCACGGTTTTGAAGATCTTTCCCGCTTGGACCGAAGAATTGACTTTACTTGACTCAACACTTGAGAGGCCACATACTGCTTGGGAAAGCTGCAAAGTTTGACACCCATACGTGACTCCTTCGGAAAACTGTTTTTGGATTTCGTTGCCAGCTTTCATCTCTGACCCCACAGGAGCGGTCCACGCCGAAGTGCCCGCAGAAGTGGTCCAGCCGCTGGGTTTGAACTTGGATGTCGCAAAGCCGAGGTTTCAACTTCGAACTACCATGAGACAGAGGCCGTAGGCCGTAGGCGGCTTTGAATGGGACTCAGACTCTGAAGACTTTTGAAGGGATGAGCGATTTCCTGAATAGCCATGACATGCTATGAAGCAGCCTGAGCTTTTGCATATAGACTATAGGAAATGTTGCCACCTTTGTGCCAATCCGCTTGGTGACGTGACAACCCTGAAGACCAAGTCTGGATCTATTTGGAAGCATTCTTTCGCTCGATGTGACAAAGCCGATGGGTCCCACCAGATCATTGAGAATTGTCTTTGGAGCTGATGTAGGAGTAAGAACCATCAAGATGTATCGAGTACTTGCATAAGATGAAATCTGCACACGCAACTGGCAGCGCAAAGGTTTGGTTAATCCAGCTCCAGCTGGAAACATGGTGCAACACAGTTGTTGCAACATGGTGTGAAACGCGCACTAACGCGTAGAATGTGTGACAACATTGACAATTGTCACAAATGTGACAATTGTGACAACCTCCTGAGGTTGGCTTCTCAATTGGCTGGTGCCACGGGTGGCACGAGCGGATCGGAGACGTCGTCGATTTTGATCACCCTCACGGAGCTGTCGAACGACGTGGCAGACAAGCTCCGCAGTGATAATGCCAGGATCACTGCGCAGGAGAAATGCCGGGAGACTTTACGCATCGGAATGTATCGGATGTGGCGGAGATAAAAGGTGTAAAAGGTGTTAAAGGACGTTAATGAGCTTGACTGAGTGAATGCAACCAGAACATACCAGCACCAGAGGCTCAAAAATGCATGTGAGAAAATTTGGATGGTTTATGTTGTAGCGGTTGTAGTTCAGGCATATTCGGTGTTGAAGGCTGCAGTGGTTAAAAGATTCTCCGCAAATGCCTCTGGGATCAGGGTTGTCATCGTCCTTGTGATGGTGACAACCCCCACCATGGTCCGTTTCCCGCTTGATGCACAGGGCCGAAGACTGGCTTCGAGCCTGAAGACACTTCCGATGCTTGGCAGCCAGCAAAGCTTGACCATTGAAAGTTTGTTTGAGTTATTTCGGCAGCATTATTTTATGTGATGATGAACGTATTGTAAACTCACTATAGCGAGAGATTTTGGTATTATATAGTCTTGTATTCATGTCCGTTCGACCGTACTTGTTGGAAGAAAACTATCGATAAGATACGGCAGACTGGCAGACGCTCCAAGACTATAGAAGTTAGCAGGCCTCAAGCCTGTCAGTATCTTCTTTGAAAGATCTAATCCAGATTGATGCTTTGCATGCAGGGCTTCTTTGGTCTCAGACTTGGGGTCAGCAGGGTCATATATCCTATGCAGTCATCACCAGTCGTCCAATTTGGCTGGATGGGTTTGGACAGTTTTCATGCGCCACTGCACAGAGGATTAGTATGAAGCTGCGGACTTCAGAGGGTGAGGAGTTTCTTGTCAAAATGTAACCGCGGAGTTGGTAGGCGACCAAAATCATCAAGACTGAATCAATATATCTCCATGCTCATGTTGGTAAAACAACAGCTTTTGACGGCCCCTGTTTGTTTGGGAAGCTGGTCTCATATTTCACTTCAGAGTCAGAGGAATTTGTCTTCACAATGGACCAACACCAACAAGCAAAATCAAGCGCTACGGAGACTCGGGAACGTCACACAATCAGAATCCATCTCTATCCATTTCAGCGGAGGACGGAGGAACCGAGAAGAGTGGTGGGTAATTGTGGTGGGTCACAAGGAAGTGATGCGTTTTGATTGGTGAAAATATTATGCTACTTGTACAAATCGGAGGACTTTGGTGATAGTTTTTTCCCCTTATACTTTATAATTTTTTTAGGTGCAGCACTGACCGGCACCGGTTGATTCGGATTCGGTATCACTTCGGTTCCCGAGATCCCCCCGAGATCCACAGGCTTAGAATCAGCGGTCTAAACCAAGCCATCGTTTTCGCGTTGCCTATCGACAATGACTCTTGGCAGTGGCAGCTGAAAGGACTGAATAGGATTGAATAGACCACATTAGACCACATTAGACCACATTAGACCACAAAATGTCTCAAGGCGGCAACAAAAATCGATATGTTGTGGATTGGAACACATCATCCTGAAAATTGAATGATATACATATATTATATATATAAAAATAAATCACATTATATATGCATTATGTTAAATATTTTTATCCGTATATTTTGAATCAAGGTCATTCAAAGTATTTGATGGCCGTCATGGTTGTTGTGGTCGGTGTCATCATGTTGCTGTGTTTGCTACTGGTATCACCATTGCCCTCAGCGCAAGTTTTAGGGTGAGTTGTGTTAGCGCCCGCGTTTGGTTCCTTCTTTACAGCTTTATACAGACGAGGTTCAATCATGTTCAAGCAGGAAAATCTTCTAATCTGGAAAAACTTGTTTTTTGGTAGAGAAGCGTTTGTTTTTTGGGAAACCCTAAAAAGAGAAGGTCATGGAAGTTGAAGGTATAATATATTATTCTTTCTTACTATATATATATATATATTTATGCGTACCCGATATACCCGAGTATCAAAATCATTCAGTATCACTAAATGATTGCAGTGATTGTCATCCGCAGTACCATGACTTTAACCCTACCTCATTATTCCCCACATCACTGTGTGGGGTTCTTGTTTTTCGCTTGGATCCGCCGCGCTGCTCCCTCACATCCCACAACTCATCACACCACAACTCATCACAGCTCCTCCACTTCTCATCACAACTCATCACAGCTCCACTTCTCACACCTCTCGCGTGGCAGGAGCAGTACATAGAGCCTCCTGGAGGAGCTGCGGCGCGGGTGGTCGGCGCTGGCCCGCGGCTGCCTTTCTCGTGGCAGGCGTAGTACACAGAGCCTCCTGGAGGAGCTGCGGCGCGCGTGGTCGCCGCTGGCACGCGGCTGCCTCTCCCGTGGCAGGCGCGTGCACAGAGCCTCCTGGAGGAGTTGCCGCGCGCGTGGTCGCCGCTGGCCCGCGGCTGCCTCTCGCGTGGCAGGTGCAGTGCACAGAGTCTCCTGGAGGAGCTGCGGCGCGCGTGGTCGCCACTGGCCCGCGGCTGCCTGTCTCGTGGCAGGCGCAGTAAATAGAGCCTCCTGGAGGAGCTGTGGCGCGCGTGCCGCTGGCTTTCTCGTGGCAGGCGTAGTACACAGAGCCTGGAGGAGCTGCGGCGCGCGTGGTCGCCGCTCTCTCGCGTGGCAGGCGCGTGCACAGAGCCTCCTGGAGGAGTTGCTGCGCGCGTGGTCGCCGGTGGCCCGCGGCTGCCTCTCGCGTGGCAGGTGCAGTGCACATGACAAGCCTCCTGGAGGAGCTGCGGCGCGCGTGGTCGCCGCGCAGTACATAGAGCCCCCTGGCGGAGCTGCGGCGCGCGTGGTCTCCGCTGGCCCGCGGCTCGCCGCTGGCCCGCGCCTGCCTGTGGCGTGGCAGGTGCAGTACACAGAGCTTCCTGATGGAGCTGCTGCGCGCGTGGTCGCGTGCGTGGCAGGCGCAGTGCAGAGTCTCCTGTCGCGTGGCAGGCGCAATACACAGAGCCTCCTGGCGGAGCTGCTGCGCGCGTGGTCGCCGCTGGCCCGCGGCTGCCTGTCGCATGGCTGGCGCAGTACACAGATCTTTCACACACCATCTTTGTCACACCACTTTGTCACGCACCATCTTTCACACATCATCTCTTGCACCACTTTTTCACACACCATCTTTTACACACCATCTTTCAAACACTATCTTTCACACACCATCTTTCATCCACAACTTTGTCACACACCATCTTTCACACACAACTTTGTCACACCCTCTCTTTCGCAAACAACTTTGACACACTATCTTTCACACACAACTTTGTCACACACCATCTTTGATACACCACTTTGTCACACACCATCTTTCACACACACACACAACTTTGTCACACCACACCATCTTTGACACACATCATCTTTTATACACCATCTTTCACACACAACTTTGTCACCCACCATCTTTGGCACACCATCTTTCACACATCACTTTGACACACACACACACCATCTTTCACACACCATCTTTCACACACCACTTTGACACACACCATCTTTCACACACAGCTTTGTCACACATCATCTTTCACACACCATCTTTCACACACCATCTTTGACACCACATCTTTGACACACACACACACACCATCTTTCACACACGGTCACAGACATCTTTCACGCACAACTTTGTCACACACCACTTTGTCACACACCATCTTTGACACACCATCTTTCACACACCATCTTTGTCACACACCATCTTTCACCACACCATCTTTGTCACACACCATCTTTCACCACACCATCTTTGTCACACACCATCTTTCACCACACCATGTTTCACACACACGCACAACTTTGTCACACACCATCTTTCCTCCACCTCCTCCTTTGTCTTTCAATTTGACTTGTGGGGTTATCTGGTCCTTTTATTACCACCAGCATCATCAGCATCACCCCTTTCTTTCATGCCGTGATGAACACGGGATCAAAATAACCTCAGAGCGGCGGAGCTAAGGACACGACTGATGTGGTGACCTGTGCATTTTGGGATGAGGAACTGGCAATTTGGTCCACTGAGGGCGTCAGCACCTTGCCAAGTACCACGCCTGGGAAGGCCCTTGTGATGGTTTGCGCACATTACCAGCTGACATGGTGTGCAAAGCAAAATGCAGTAATTAATGACTTCGCGGTAGTACTTCATAATTGTGTTGAGACTTTACAGATGGGCGCGTTTGCAGTATAGGGTGGTCGGACAGACATACGCAGATCAAGAATTTGTTTGGAGGTTCCAGCCTGATTTAAAAGACCCCATTCGGACCCTTCAAATCATCATTTAGTTGGGCTCTAACACCGTAAACGAACTAACCTTCAAACGGTGACCAGTATTGACTCCCTGCAGGTTTTGTGTTCCACCACACATCTATCCATCTTCGGTGGTGTCTTCGAAGTGTTGGTGGGGGACATGGCGCAAGTCCTTCGCTGTAGCACTGCGTTCGTGGTCTTCTCCGCTGAGGGACTTCTGAGCCTTGGGCGCTAGCGCGATCAATGTGGTGACAGGTCTGACATGGCTGTAAAGGACCTCTAGAGTTCTAGAGGACGTCAAGTTTTTGTTACTTGGTTGGTATGATTTGCGAAAGATTTGAAAAACTGACAGGACTCGCAACAATTGACCAAAATATACCCAAATTGTTTCAAATGCGAAAATGGGATTCCGAATGATCTCGTGTCCAAACTTGTGGATACTAATCAGCATTTGCGTGAGCGCAAGAAATTAAAGGACCGGATATATCCCACATGTCAACTTCTTCCAACAAGCAGCAAAAGAAAGGTAAAGATGGCATGGGGAAAGCAGGAAAGAGAAAAGAGATGGTGAAGGATTGGTGTGGAGTAAGTTGTGTGTAGCAGAGTAAGTGTGAGTACGTTGTGTGGTGATGATTTGTGTGTGTGAGGTGTGTGTGTGTGTGTGCGTGTGTTTGTGTGTGTGTGCGTGCAGAAGTTGTGACGGGGAAGGAAGGAAAGACAAAGGAGGTGGTGAAAAGGTTCGAGAAGTAAAAACAGTTGTGTGGATAAAGTTGTCTATACGTATGTATGTATGCAGGTATCTATGTATCAGCCGCATGCTATGCAAAGTGAAGATGGATGTCACCAATTGCCACGCCGTAAGTGCCACGCCTGCCACGCAAAGTGAAGGTGGATGTCACCTAGTGCCACGCCTGCCACGCAAAGTGACGGTGGATGTCACCAATTGCCACGCCTGCCACGCAAAGTGCCGTAAGTGCCACGCCTGCCATGCAAAGTGAAGGTGGATGTCACCAAGTGCCACGCTTGCCATGCAAAGTGAAGGTGGATGTCACCAAGTGCCACGCCTGCCACGCAAAGAGCCGCGGCATCCACGACGTCAGCTGAGAACCCGGTGCGCCACCAGAGCCCGCCCAGTCCCGTAAGTGCCACACCTGCCACGTGAAATGAATGTGGATGTGACCAAGTGCCACGCCTGCCACGCAAAGTGAAGGTGGATGTCACCAAGTGCCACGCCTGCCACGCAAAGAGCCGCGGCTTCCACGGCGTCAGCTGAGAACCCGGTGTGCGACCAGAACTCGCCCAGTGCCGTAAGTGCCATGCCTGCCACGTGAAACGAAGATGGATGTCGCCAAGTGCCACGCCTGCCACGCAAAGAGCCGCGGCGTCCACGGCATCAGCTGAGAACCCGGTGCGCGACCAGAGCTCGCCCAGTGCCGTAAGTGCCCCGCCTGCCACGCAAAGAGCGGAAGCGTCCACGGCGTCAGCTGAAAACCCCGGTGCGCCACCAGAGCCCGCCCAGGGCCGTAAGTGCCACGCCTGCCACGTGAAATGAATGTGGATGTGACCAAGTGCCACGCCTGCCACGCAAAGTGAAGGTGGATGTCACCAAGTGCCACGCCTGCCACGCAAAGAGCCGCGGTTCACGGCGTCAGCTGAGAACCCGGTGCGCCACCAGAGCCCGCCCAGTGCCATAAGTGCCACGCCTGCCACGTGAAACGAATGTGGATGTGACCAAGTGCCACGTCGGCCACGTGAAACGAAGGTGGATGTCGCCAAGTTGTGTGCGAGCAAGTTGTATGATGACAAGTTGTATGTGTGAGCAAGTTGTGTGTGAGTTGAGTTGTGTGTGAGCAAGTTGTATGATGACAAGTTGTATGTGTGATATGTGAGCAAGTTGTGTGTGAGTTGAGTTGCGTGTGAGCAAAGTTGTGTGAGTTGAGTTGTATGTGAGCAAGTTGTGTGTGAGTTGAGTTGTGTGTGAGTTGAGTTGTGTGTGAGTTGTGTGATGACAAGTTGTATGTGTGATGACGGGAGGAGTAAGTGCCACGCCTGCCACGTGAAACGAATGTGGATGTGACCAAGTGCCACGCCTGCCACGCAAAGTGAAGGTGGATGTCACCAAGTGCCACGCCTGCCAGGCAAAGAGCCGCGGTGTCCACGGCGTCAGCTGAGAACCCGGTGTGCCACCAGAGCCCGCCCAGTGCCGTAAGTGCCACGCCTGCCACGTGAAACGAACGTGGATGTGACCAAGTGCCACGCCGGCCATGTGAAGCGAAGGTGGATGTCGCCAAGTTGTGTGTGAGCAAGTTGTATGGTGACAAGTTGTATGTGTGAGCAAGTTGTGTGTGAGTTGAGTTGTGTGTGAGCAAGTTGTATGATGACAAGTTGTATGTGTGATATGTGAGCAAGTTGTGTGTGAGTTGAGTTGCGTGTGAGCAAAGTTGTGAGTTGAGTTGTATGTGAGTTGAGTTGTGTGTGAGTTGTGTGATGACAAGTTGTATGTGTGATGACGGGAGGAGTAAGTGCCACGCCTGCCACGTGAAACGAATGTGGATGTGACCAAGTGCCACGCCTGCCACGCAAAGTGAAGGTGGATGTCACCAAGTGCCACGCCTGCCACGCAAAGAGCCGCGGTTCACGGCGTCAGCTGAGAACCCGGTGCGCCACCAGAGCCCGCCCAGTGCCGTAAGTGCCACGCCTGCCACGTGAAACGAACGTGGATGTGACCAAGTGCCACGCCGGCCATGTGAAGCGAAGGTGGATGTCGCCAAGTTGTGTGTGAGCAAGTTGTATGATGACAAGTTGTATGTGTGATATGTGAGCAAGTTGTGTGTGAGTTGAGTTGTGTGTGAGCAAGTTGTATGATGACAAGTTGTGTGTGTGATATGTGAGCAAGTTGTGTGTGAGTTGAGTTGCGTGTGGGCAAAGTTGTGTGAGTTGAGTTGTATGTGAGCAAGTTGTGTGTGAGTTGAGTTGTGTGTGAGTTGTGTGATGACAAGTTGTATGTGTGATGACGGGAGGAGTAAGTGGTGTGTGAGGGAGGCGGCGGGAGGAGGAGGAGGGCGGCGGGGGGAGGGGGAGGGGTAGGGGGAGAGGGCGGGGGCTGGGTTTATGATTCTTTTTAGGCTGTCTTTCATACCTAACCAAAAACAAGAACCCCAAACAAAGATGTGGGGTATGCTACCTGCTGTATTCAGTGTAATCCCTTCTTTGTCAGTTAGAACTGAACCGCCAGGGTGTGACCTTCCAACAGACCTCACGCGAGCAGCTGCTTTGCGCAAGATCTGACAAGCTCCGCTCCATGTAGAATGATGAATGTAGGTGTTTCCAGATTGTGATTTCATACTGTTACCTTCGCCCCAAATAAAGTGTGCTGAGCCCCCCGCAAGCGATCCAGTTCGGATACACCCTGTGCCGCAAGATTTTCACAAACTGTCCTTTTTACGAAAGCCAGCCGGTAGGCTTGGCTGAAGTTGTACCACATACCAATTAAGTGACGGTGGGGTATGGCGGGTTCGATTTCCTTCTGGTCCATAACTTATAAAAGGGGTTTGGAAAGACCATGGCTGGAACAGAGATGGAAGATTTAGTGGGAAGATACACATGGCAAGCGTAAGAAGGATTCCGATGGTGATAATAGAGAAGAAAGGTCGAGTAGGAAAATACCAATGTAAGACGGAAGCGGCTTGTAGGTAGCAGGGGTGGAGGATGAGAAACCCCGATGGTGACAACAGAGGGGGAAGGTCTAGTGGTTAAGGAGGTGCACAGGAGGGAAGTGTGTCTTGGCTTTTGGCATCTCTCAGGTCAAGATAACCGTTAACCGAAATTCGACCGAGCATCAAGCTATATTAAAAAACAAAACAACCAAGGTACAGATTCGATAAATAAACCCAGGTATAAATGCGGTATAATAGATGAATACTCACCCCCCAGGTTGAATGTATAAACATCATCGAAGGAAGTTTAGAAGTCAAACTTCCGACAATATGGACAGATGACAAGCAGAGCAGGGAAGAGGCAGAGAGAAGAGAAAGATTAGAAGAAAGAAGAGTAGAAGAAAGAGTAAGAAGAAAGAAGATGGAGATGCGCGAAAAGGTAGGAAAGTTGCGAAACACTGTGTTTTTCCAATGATTTGGGGCTCCGGAGGGTCGAAAAGTAGGCTCGCTAAAGCGGCGGGTGCGGAGCCAGCTGGCCAGATGAGAGATGAAAAGTTGCACGCCGTTGTGGCGCGAAGCACATTTCGAAGTCAAAATGTACAAAGCACACCATTGTCGGACCACTTTTGGAAGTTGCGATGTCGAAAAAGTGCACGCCGTTGTGGCGCGAAGCACATTTCCAAGTCAAAATGTACAAAACACACAAGGTTCGGACCACTTTTGGAAGTTGCGATGTCGAAAAAGTGCACGCCGTTGTGGCGCGAAGCACATTTCCAAGTCAAAATGTACAAAGCACACCAGGTTCGGACCACTTTTGGAAGTTGAGATGTCGAAAAAGTGCACGCCGTTGTGGCGCGAAGCACATTTTGAAGTCAAAATGTACAAAACACACCAGCTCCGGACCACTTTTGGCAGTTGAGATGTCGAAAAAGTGCACGCCGTTGTGGTGCGAAGCACATTTCGAAGTCAAAATGTACAAAAACACCACATGTTCGCGCCACTTTTGGAGGTTCGGATGTTGAAAAAGTGCACGCCGTTGTGGCGCGAAGCACATTTCCAAGTCAAAATGTACAAAGCACCACATTTTCGCCCCACTTTTGGAGGTTCGGATGTTGAAACAGTACACGCCGTTGTGGCGCGAAGGACATTTCCAAGTCAAAATATACAAAATACCACATGTTCGCGCCACTTTTGGAGGTTCGGATGTGTTGTGGCGCGAAGCACATTTCCAAGTCAAAATGTACAAAGCACACCATGGTCGGACCACTTTTGGAAGTTGAGATGTCGAAAAAGTGCACGCCGTTGTGGCGCGAAGCACATTTCCAAGTCAAAATGTACAAAGCACACCAGGTTCGGACCACTTTTGGAGGTTCAGATGTCGGAAAAGTGCACGCCGTTGTGGCGCGAAGCACATTTCGAAGTCAAAATGTTAAAAACACAAGGGGATTGGACCACTTTTGGAGGTTCAGATGTCGCTTCGCTTCACTACACTACACTACACTACATTACACTACACTCCACTACACTACGCTCCACTACACTACACTACATTACACAACACTA